GTTGGGAGGGACCTTACAGGTCACCTAGTTCTAACCCCCATGTATTTGTACAACTTGGATTTTTTTCCTTTTTTGGTAGAAACAATAGTTACAAAATGTCAGTTTGGCCTGGTCCTAAAACATTTGCTTCTTTCAGCTCCCTAGAGAAGGTTCTGCTCTGCTGCTCCTTTTCAGCCTGGCTTATTTTAGAAGTCCTGACCTTGGCTTTGGCTGCTGAAGTAAATGTGGCTTTTGTTTGTTTCTGTCCCTTCACAGGAGGTTCTTCAGAACTTGTACCGGACCAAGTCCTTCCTGTTTTTGGGCTGTGGGGAGACTCTGCGTGACCAGATATTCCAAGCCCTTTTTCTTTACACAGTAAAGAACAAAGTGGATTTAGAGCATTACATGTTGGTGCTTAAAGAAAACGAAGACCACTTTTTCAAGCTGCAGGCAGACATGCTGCTGCACGGGATAAAGGTGGTGTCCTACGGGGACTGCTTCCAGCAATTCCCAGAGTACGTCCAGGATCTCACTGCTCAGATCTGCAAGCAGAGGAGCCCAGGTAAGGAAAATCCAGGGCACATGGCCTCCTCACCAGCCCAGGCTGGATTGAACAGGTGCCCAGCAGTGCCCTGTGTGAGCCCTGCACGAGGTGCTGACCTCGTGTGCAGCTCCTGGGCTCCTGAGGGACATGCAGGGCTGGAACACGTGGCCAAACTGTGACCAGATCTGTTTTTGGGAATCTGTGGATTTTGGAGGTCTGTGGATTCTTGCAACTCTAATCTTGAATTCTGAGTTTGCCTTTTTTGTTAGCATTTGGTAAAGATGTTCACTTTGCAGATTTCTTTGGCGTGAACTATTCCAGCCTGTTGAGTGTTATATTATCTGAAATCTGATGTGTCAGGAGAAGAGACTGAAGGAATTGAAGGAATTACCTGGTGGGATAACCTGGCTGAGCCACAGTACCTGATCAAGCATAGAATGGGAAATTAAATCAGTGCCTCCAATAAACATTGGGCTTATCACAGTCAGGGCTAATGGGGAGAAACAACTCTGTCAGAGGAAAGAGATTCCTTTCATGTTTTCCAAACAAGGACTGGTCTGCTATGGTTTATCCACAGAACTGAGGAAAATAACTAAATGACCTTGGGAAGAATTACTATTTGACAGCTGTTTTATTTATCAACTCAGTGAAACTGTTTTGTCTAGAATTACTCCAAGTGGTGCAGAGCAGGAACCTTCCCCTTGCTCCCCCTCAAAGAAAACTGCAGGTGCATGCCCAAATTATATCCCGCTTTTTGTGACCTGATGAATATTCCAGTTAGACTGCATTATGTTTTTCTTTCCATGGAGGCTAGAAAAAAATATTTAGCACAGCATGGAGGTTCCAGGACGTTTATCTGCAGTGTAGACAACTAAAAGTAAGTTGGTGTGCAGTTCCAGACACTGAACTCAGCCTGCTGGTTTGGTTTTGATGTACTGGTGTTGATGGATGTACTTTCCATAGTCTGAGCAGTACCTGTTCTGAGCCTGTTCAGTCTGGAGAATCCAATTTATTGCAGAGCAGCCATTGATATCAAAACAGGAGGCTCACAGGTTTGCTTAAGCTCTAAAAGGAGATGACTGCAAAATCAGACTCTAATGTTCCCCTTTTCCTTCTTGGGAATTCCTGATTGGCATCAGACATGTGAGAAGAGGGACCTTACTCAGACTTGAAAGCCTTGTGATCTCACTTAAAAGGTCCCTCCCAGCCAAAAACTATTTTGGGATTCTAAACACAACTTTGCTGTTTTGGGATGGTGCCTAAATGATAAAAGCTTTCTGGATGGTAACCTGTGCTGCTGCTCTCTCACACCTCTCTAGATGCTGATCGGGTGGACAGCACAACACTCCTGGGTAAGCAACATTTTTACTGTCTCAGAAAGTTCCACAATCCTACCAAAGAGAGAAAAATACATCTCTTGTTTCCAAAGTAACTAAATGATTACTGTGCACTGCTCTACTTTACCTCCCAAAGTCTGCTGCATGCTCTCTTTTTTCCCCCCTCTGATTTTCTTTCTGCTTATCAGCAGGTAACTGCTGGGTTTCAGCTGTCAATCAAATGATAAATGATAGAAAGGAAAAGCTCTAGGAAATGTATAGAAAAAGTTATTAATGCTGACTAGAGTACTCTAAGGTAATACTAATATCCATGAGGTTTTGACTTAGATTTCCAAGCACAGGTTTCTGTTCCAAAGCCTTCCTTGAGGAGGTCTGGAGGAGAGAATCTCAAGCGTGTGGTACTGAAGGTGAATTTTCAGCTAAGCTGTTCAGGTGGCTCTGTGATACTTCACTGAATAAGCTGAGCAATAATACACAAAATTCCAGTTTATTGTGTAAAATAGCAAAACTTCCCTTTGAAACAACATAGAAAGATCCCACTCCTGAGAGCTCTGTGCTGCTGCAGGGAACATCAGAAGTGTATAAAAGTAGTATTTCATTACTGTGCAGGAGGGTCTTTGGCAGTGCAGGAGGAGAACCCCCCACTCTTTCCCAGCCACAGAGCACACAAGGTCCCAGACACTTGTGGGCAGGTGTAAAGTCAGAGATTAGGTTTGTAATTCCAACTGGATCTTAGGCTTACCTGTCTTACAACTGAGTTCATGAATCCCATTTTCAATAAAGTAAAGTTAGGCATCAGTAAAGGAGAAACCACAAACTTGAGCACAATTTATTCCAGTTCCTTTTAACATAAAGCTCCTTACAGGTGATTTTAGCTCCTGTTTACTTGTAATTTGGAATACAGACCAAGTAAAACAGACTTGCAGCAGGGTTAGTGTTATATATAATTCAGAATCCAAACCTAAGAACCTCAGGGGAGCAGGACTGTGTTTATCTTTGTATCTGGTGCTTGTAGTAAAAATTACACCAAGCACATGTATGTAGCAACAATTTGGGTTTTTTTCCTTCTCCCTCCCCAGGAACTTCATGTGTGGACTGTGCTAAAAGGAAGCTGGGAGAAAGTGGCACTGACTCTCCTAAGAGGATCAAGCAGTCAGATACACCCACTAGTGAATGAAAAAACCCCAAACACCCAGAAGCTTTTTAACAGTGGGTGTTTTACATCTGCTGCATGGAAAGTTTTGAGCTGGTATTTCCATGGTTTTAAGTGGAATAAAACTGTACATATTAGCCTTTCCTTTCTAAAGCTGGAAATGTGATGTGTGTGAAGCTGGAGCCACCAGTCACTCCCCTGGCACAGCCAGACCCTCAGGCTGTACCTGCAGGGTCAGAGACAAGCAGGTGCAGCTTCTCTCAAGCCCTTTGGACCAAACCCTGCTCAGGTGCAGCCACAAGAGAGGTAACTTTGGAATCTGTCAAAAATGCCTTTTGGCACAGCAGCCTTTGAAACCAAGGGGTTTCAGTTCCTTTCCCATCAGCTGGACTGTGGGTGGGCTGTGGAGGCTGGACTGCAGGGGTCTGTCAGCACAAGGCTGCTTCCAGGCTTCAGATCCCTAAACCCTGAGGAACAGAAAGTGGTGTTCCACAGTTATGGAGCCCACAGCACAGTGACCCACCTGCTTTTCACTTTCAGCACGAGGGTTTGTTTTCCTGAGTCTGGTGAGGCAGGAGTGCTGTATCCACAGGGAGAGCCCCGAGGGCCACAGGGCTCCCTGACCTCTGTGCTGTGGGTTTCTGTGGACATGTTTTAAATGTTGTTACACCACAGGCTGTGCTGCCCCTTGCCTTGGACAGCAGGTGCCAGAGTCCTGCTGCAGTGGAATGAAGCCCAGCCAGTATCCAGGGATGGATCTGCAGACAATTCCTGGTGTGGACCTTTGCTGTGGGCTGAACTACTCTAAGGGTGAAGGTGGGGCACTGCAGCACCTCTTTGCCCCAGGGACTGGTACTTCTCCCACTGGGGCACCACACAGACAGAATTATTACTTGAGTGGCTTGGAAAAGCTGATCCCACAGAGGGGCATGTTCAAGGCTGTTGGTGATTCCATTGCCCAGGGCTCTTTTTCTACTTCATTCATAACCTTTTTTTTTTTAAATGGGAGTAAGATACTTTTAAATGGGAGTAAGATACTCCCATGAAAACCAACCTGTTGACCATGACATTACCCTGTTTTGCTCAAGCTGTGTAATGAATTTGGAAGGACATTTCTGAAGGTGACATACACTCTCTCAATAAAATATTTAAAGTAAACTGTACCTGTGTAGCAGCTGTCCCCCTTCTTCAGGCTGTTCTTTTCTTCACTGCATTTTTCTGTCTCAACCAGAGGCAGAATCCCAAACAAACCAGGACTTGTGTATTAGCAGCACCCAGACTGCTGTAGGTCAGAGACCTTTGGACACCACTGAGGCTGCTCCTCCATCCACCCTTCACACTGCCAGAGGTCTTTCCACGTCTGTCACTGGATTCTCAATGAAGGCGCTCACATAAATTCATGCCTCAAATTAATTTATTAACAAAGCGTGGCAGTAACACAAGTGTTTGATGAACATCTGCCTGCAGGAGCAGTGGGCACACGGATAGAGTTGGAATGTTCCTGTGTGCCCAGCAGGGACCACAAGCCCAGGGCTCCCAGCACACAACAAGGCAGGTGTGTGTAGGCAGTCTGGGGGACAAAAGGAACCTGCTCTGTGAACATTACAATTATTATGAACAACCATAAACCATGGGAAGCTCTTTAGGACACACAGAGGGGGAACACAGGCCAGATGAAGTGATTGCATCTCCCTCAAACAGGGTTCTGTACCCTGGCTTGGGGATGCTGTGCTAGTGAACTTGCACCCTTCATCTTTACAGCCAAAACACCCCAAAACTGGGGGAGAACTTCGTGTAGCGGTGTGCACAACCTCAGCAACAGCCTCAGGCGCTCTCACCCCTCAACCAAACTGCACGAAGGAGGAACAGCTCCTTCCATGACTGTTTTACAAAACTGCTTCCCTTGCAAAGTGAACATTCCCATATCAACCTCCAACAGTCACATTCCAACTCACATTTGTCCCAGTCAGCTGTGAACCCAGTTGCTGTTGCTGTCCCCTGGGTCTGTGCTACCCCAGGACAGAGCTGTGTCTGGGCTTCTCTGCCCTGTCCTGCTGTTCCTGCTCCGGGAACTCGGTGAGATCCAGGGTCAGCACTTTGCTGAACATGATGTCATCGTGCTGGGAAGGGGGGAGATCACAGCAGGGAACACGTTTCTCTTACTTGAAATAAGCATTTCATAAGTGTGAGAGACAACACCGAGCCCGAGCTCCCACAGGACATTCCCTGGAGCCTGTCCCTGCACAGCAGGGCACACCCAGCCACCAGACACTGCAGGTGGGAACCAGCACTGCCACACCACCCCCAGCATCACTGAACAAAACCTGGTCTAATGGATTGTTACCTCTGGACACACTCCAAGCAAGGCGTCTGCCTTGCAGAAGAACTCCTCCTTCAGGGAAATCACTATCATTTGGAACTGCTCGTGGGCCTGTTCCCTGATGAAACTGGAGACCTTTGGAAAGACAGCAAATATTTCCTCAGTTAGTTCTGGCAGCCTGAAACCACGCTGTGATCAGGGAATGGCGAGGAGAGAACTGAACTGTGAGAGCTGCAGAATTCCATCGTGAAATAAGCTGAGTAAAATGAGAAATAAACAGCTCTTAAGCCAGATACTTGCCATGGTCTCAAGACAAGCCCTCAGATCTGCTGCTTTTTGAAAACACGTAACAAAATCATTCACTCCAATGAATAAAGTCAAAGAAAGAGGCCTGTGCCAATGAAAAACAGTTTTACCTAATATAACTACAAAGGAAAGTGGAAATTCCTTAATATTTAACAAAAAAAAAGGTGTGTGAAGTCTGTTGCTGGCTACATGATAAGATCTGAAATATGTATTAGTTCACTGCAGACAGCAGTGTCCCTCAATATAAATGAAATGCTGCCTAAAGGAAAACCAGTACATTTTTAATAATGTACTGGCACAGTTCTATCTACTTGACATGGAAATAATTTTTTAATGGAAGAACTGCCTTTAGTAAGTTACAGAATTCACATTCACTTCACAGTATAGTCCCATTTACTGCAGATCTGCTTTAATAAACCCTCAAACTGAGAGAATGGAAAGAGACTTAGCTCACACCTTCACCCTCCTCACCTCTTCTCTCACATTCACAGCGTGGGCACCAATCAAACGTGCTTAGATTGAGGAATTTAAACCTCTCCCATGTCTGGTATCTCACACAACCATTACTTCAGCCCTAAACCTAATCAAGTTTAAACCAGGTTCAGTCAGGGCAATCAATCTCTGCATCCCAACACCCTGCAGTCCAAGCAGCCACCCTTCTACAAAAGGTGTCAGATACTGATAAAGGATAACTTACTTTATCAATGTTGGAGTTGTCCAGGGCAGCATCTATCTCATCCAAAATAAAGAAAGGTGCTGGCCTAAAGCTGCAGGAGGCAAGACAGTATTTTCCACTTAGAAGGCAAAATGTTAACAAACATTCTAATTACTTACTCTCTAATAAAATTCCGATAGTATTTTGCAATATTAGATTTATATTTATTTTAAAATGAAATAATTAGATATTACTTAACATGCAATATTAAATAATACACAGGAACTTAATTAACAGTTCAGAATTGACATAAAATTCTACATTTAATATATAATGTTAAAGTCATGACAGGCAAAGAATAAGGTAAAGAATAAGAAGTTTAGTAATGCCTGAATACTCCATTAGCAGGTTTTTTAACATGTTTGTAAATGGAACACTGTCTCTCTTCCTGTCACTTACTCAGGCAGATCCTTGGAGAATCCCACAGTACTCTTCCCCCCTTGGACAATCCCAGGGCAGTGTTTTTACCTGTGTATGGCAAACACAAGGGCCAGGGCTGCCACAGTTTTCTCCCCTCCTGACAAACAGTCCATGGGCATGAAACGCTTGCCTGGGGCCACACAGTTGAAGCCAATGCCTTCCAGATAGGGCTCCTCGGGATTCTCAAGGCTCAGGAACGCCTGGGAACACACACACGGCATTGTTAACAGGGACATTTATCAGATTAGTAAGATGGGAACGTTTTGGGTTTAAACACTGCCTGAGCTAATGTGGAAATCAGGGAGTTGACTTCATTTGTAGGGAACCTGTCCATCCATCCTGAGAGTAGCATTACCAAATTCCCAGGGAATATGGTTTTGTTAAGGAACTAGGAGACTCATTAACAAAACCAGTTTGGAAATGGCACCACCTATTTGTTATTTGCACACTTTCAACTACTGAACAAACTCGATTTTATGTAACTCACCTTTTATGTAACTGCTTTTTTTAGTTATTAGAATTTTAGACTTAAAAAGCAGCTTGGAAGACAATACACTTGCAAAATTAGCCTTTTTTTGTGGAAGGTTAGCTTTACAGAGCCAAGCTTTGAGCTGGAAAAAGACTTTAATACAAGCAGCCTTTCTCCATACTTTGTATCCTAGTTCCCAGGGCCAAAAATTGAAAGTATTATTTTAAAGGAATTATCATTTTTCCAAACCACTAAAAAGTACAATGCATAAGATCTTTGCTACGTGGTTTGTTTTTCCCATTAATAAAAGAAACAATAAAAGAATAAAGTCTCTTCCCCTCTGCACAGGGGGAGACAGATAAAAGAGAAATTTCCATACTTAACCCTGACTTCAAATGTCTCCTCTTGGGGCACAGACACAGCGAAAGAAACCCAAACCAATACACAACATGTTGAGGGAAAACACAAAATCTGATGAATCTGATGTTTTAAAAGAGAAAAGAATCCAATCCTGAACCCTTTAAACACTCCACAGTCTCTGGAACTTGATGTAACCAAAGCATTAGGGAGTTCCCTCTTCACTTTTGGCATTAATACAGGCACAGTAACAAAGGTAATTGTGGGACAATTTTTCTACATGTTTCTTAAAAGCTGCAAACTTATTATGTCTGTGTTTCCTAAATATTTAAATGGGATACACAGAGCTTCAAGACCTTGTACAAAACACTGATTTATGATTTTGAGTTTTGTCTGTATTAATGACTGTTTTTAACTGCTTATTATCGGCATCACTAGATGTGCAAACCAGTGTTATTTTTAAATGAATTACTCAAATTACATTTCACATTTGTGTCCTGATAATTTGTAAGTCTGATAAACACAAAGAGTAAAACTACCTCACTCTGAGCAGTTCCCAATTTTATTAAGAGGTTAACTTTCTCTGTCTAATGTCCAACACGCTTTGGCTTGTCATCTCCCTTCTCTGACCCTGAACTCCTGCATCTTTATTATTTGTGCCATTTCCTTCTCCAGGACTGAGACTGCCTTTGCAAAGCCCAAGTGTTACTTTGGTAACAAAGCATCCAGGGAGGCCTCTTGGGCCAAGCCCCCGAGCCCATGACCCACCTGAGCACTGCTGTTCCTGCACAGCTTCTTGTAGATCCTGTCAATGGCTATGGAGGCGTGTTCAAAGCATCTGCTGAACAGCTCATACCTCCTCTTTTTCACCTCCTCAAATTCCTGCCTGCATGTTCTGGCCTCCTTCCTGCTGCTCTCAAAAGCTGAGGAAAACAGATCACAGGAATTTCTCTGTAAGAAGCCTCTGAGCAAATACACAGAACAAAGCCATGTTGGGTACCATGAGCAGCATCAAGGAAAACAACTACTGCAGAAAAAATGCACACACAGGGAGCAATACCAATACCAGGAGTTTCCTTCCTCTGAAACCTTTCAAATAGAGACCCCAAAACCTGGGAAGCTGTGGTGTATTCCATCTGCTCTACACCACATTCGATTGGAGCAAGGAACAAAATTCTTCTCCTAATTCCTTCTGGAAGCTGGGCAGTTCTAAGCAGCTCCAGCATTGACCTGGCACAGCTCCAGAACCCTTCCTGTGCTCATGGCTGCAGTGCTCTCTGGGGATACTCATCAGTTTGAAGGAATGCTCGTGTCTGAGTTCTGGACAACATACACAGTTCCTTCAATTATGTAGGAAAAATTTAAAAATTTTTAAGATTAAAAGTCAGTCATTTTCACAAAGCAAGTGAAAATACTTTATGATGTCATTCAGGCAACAAAGTCTCTTTCCAGTCATTCAATCTGTATTTCAACTGCATACTCACGTTTATGTTAAACAATTGTTTACACATAATTAAAAAATAACTGAGATAACACTTGAGCACAAAAGAATACCTTGGTATCTGAAAGAGGCAAAGCCAGCAGGACCAAGCCAGGGAAGAGGGTGAAAACTGTCAGTCCCAAAAGAGATGGACATGAAGGACTGTTACCGTCTATGGACTCCTGGAACTTGCCCCGAGCCATCTGGAGTTTCTCCACTGCCCTCAGGTTGGGAGCAGCTGTCTTCAGCAGAGTGGTCTCTTTACATTTGATCTCCTGCTGTATCTGCTTCAGACGAGCCTCAATGTCCTTCTCAGACTGCAGGTCCTGAAGAAAAAGGAATCCCAGAGAGATCCAATCGGCTCACAGGCCAAGACACTTCAACACACATGGCAAGCACTTGTGGTTTCTGAGACAACTACCCCACTCATTGATAGCTTTAACTGGAAACAACCAAAAAATGCCACTCAAGGGCCTTAGTTCTCACAATAACCTATGAGGTTCTCAGTATTCTTCCACAAGACCTTTAAAACAGAGAGGCAACTCCCTTCTCTCACTTCACAATACAACACAAGAGCAGGGTTAGTGCTTCACTACTTGATCTGTAAAGAAAACCTTCAAAGGCAGGTTCTCAGGGAATTCTTGGAGACAAGTTCCAGTGATGACAGATCCATCCTTTGCCCTGTACCTGGCCTCTGATGTTTACTTACTTTTCTTAGGATTCAAGAGAAAAAAAATTACAAAACCTGCTCAGAAAATGTGACCTAATGGGTTGTTAGAGAGGGAAGGATGGGAAGTCTCAGTCTCTGCAAATATCACAGACAGAAGTGGTAACAACCCCCAGCAGCCATCCTTGGGTCCTGGAGTTCTGAGCCATAACATACAGTGTTGGAACTTCAAGGCAGAAGGTAAAGCAGGAAGGAAAAACCAAGGTTATATTCACTCTTTCTGAATTCCATGTCTGTGGTTCAGGGAAGCTTTAAAGGTAAAGTCTGACCCATCCAGAAATCCCACACAGCAGTGCTACATGTGACTGCAAAACCAGAGCACACAGACACATGCACTTCAGCTTAGCAGTGTTTCATTTAAAGACAGGGGTGAAGATCAAATAACTTCAACAAGTAAAATATTCTTTACCAAAATGAAAATCAAACACTGCATCTGCAATAATTTCAAACCAAAAAGATCACCTTCAGGTCTTCTGCTAGGCTCCTGTAGTCCACCTGAATCCTCTCCTCCCTCTCATAGATCCCTGACGTTGTCTGGGTGTCCTCTGTTTCAGTTCCCAGCTGGAAGGTGAGGGACATTCCAGTTCAGAAGTACAGCAGTTAACTTTTAAACTGTTACACCAATTAACTGAAAGGATTTGAAATGAAGAGACAGTGGTAACATGGTACAAGGTAAATGTATTGCATGGCTCCTGCCCTGGCCCAGAGGGAGTGAACAGTGAAGATCCCATGAGCCCAATTAAACCATGCACCTGTAAAACAAAGGTGAAAACATCTGCTAATCTCAGTCTGAATCAAGATGAGAGCAGCAGCAATTTGTTTGTAGTGTAGTTACAACCATGTCCCTACTGTAAATCTCCTGATTGGAAGGATTTACATTCCCCAGATAATTCAACCCCCTTCCAAGGGAAGGCTCTGAAGGTGTCAGCTGAGGCATTTCTTCTGCTCAGTTGGCCTCAGAAACAGCTTCAGCTCTGTACAGCACAACCAGAGTGTCTTCTAGACCCTGCAGCCTCAATTTCTAACAGCCACCTTCCCTCAAAGGAGACATGAGTCCCTCTCCCACCACCAAATCCTGCTGGTCTTCTCAGTGATCAATCATTAATCCAAGTTGGTTTTCCTACTGCTCACACCTCCTTGGTTTCAGCTCTTCCTTAACCAAATAGTGAGAGCTGAGCTCCTGCATCCTCTGATCAGGAGCAGTGCTTGTTCTCTCCCTTCACAGACTGCCCACCCCACCTCACTGCATTTTCTGCTGCCCTGTTCATACCCATCCTCCAGCAAAAATACTTTTCTAAGGAAGGGGTTCAACAAGACTCCTTCCAAATTCATACACTCCTTAAAAGTCCTTCCAAACTCACAGCTCTTTTCTTTTCAACAGTGGAGAAAGTTTATTTCTCCTCACCAAAGACATGCTGGAAAAAGAGGGAAGATAGACACAAATAATGAGGGTCAAACCTCTGGCAGCAGGAATGTTTCTATCTTAGCCTATCCTTGATTTCTGTGAATATCTGCATCTACTCAAGCCAAAAGGATCATTTCCTATACAGCATTTATATTATGGATGATTGACGTAATCTGATCTCAATCCATGTATATGCCATATTTATTTATATTTCTGAACTGCCCCTGCGTGTCCTCTTACACACCTTCACACCAATTTTCTGGTACCATGGTGATTCTAGATATTTCACAGGAATATGTTTCAAGCACAAGCAAAAATGCTTGCAAACAATACCTCTCCCTACAAAAAGCAACAAAAATCTTTCCCTTGAATGAATGAGGCCTGACCACACGAAAAAAACCACATTTGTTTGAACATTCCTATGGGAGACAAATATTCCCGTAAGGAAAGAATGAGGATCCCTAAATTCATGACTGAGTAACTGCTCCCCCAGGATATCTATCTTCTGTAAACATTTTTAAGTACCTCTACTTCACTGATGTCATCCAGTGTTCCAAAGAGGAGCTTGATTTTCAAGTCCTGCACCTTGCACTCGAGCAGCAGATTATGTCTCTTTAGTCTCTTCTCTTCCAGAGCAGTTTCTAGAGCTGCAGCTTCCTTCTGCAGTTTTGTGGCTTCCCTACATGCACAAAGGGAACAAAACAACTCAAGAGCAGAAGCATCGCTGCTAAACACATGCAGAGAAAACCAGCATGATAAACACAGCATGAAAACCAGTCCCCGAGCACCACGAGGGCTCCTTCCCCTGCAATGCCCATCGAACTCGGGAAAACGGGGCTGTGCTTGTGCCATCCCCTCCATTCTCCCACAGGACTCCAGAGGGAGCCTGAGTTTCAGAGCACTGACAAGCTCAGTCTGCAGCATCTTCAAACCCCACCTGCCCTAACTACAGCTCTGTTCTGTTCAGCTCTGCAGAACACGGAGGGAGATTTGATCCTTCTAACATTCCACCAACTGTCTTCTATCACTACTCTCCTTGAAGCACAGATTGATTCTTTGCAGTAAATTCCTGTGATAGCATCAAGTTACCAGCACCAGAAAGGTAATATCTTACATGGTTAAATGACACACTCTGACATGAATTCCTAGGCATACAGTCCATGAGTTCATAGAAAATTCCCCAAGTTTATCTAACCACACTGTGCCAACAGGAGTTTTAAACTTACCTTAAACTTAAGAGACATTAAGCACATCAATAATCAGCAAGCATAACAAAACTGAAGTCTAATCTGTCCCCAAAGCAGCTGATTTAAAACAACAGTAGGACAAAATAGTGAGCCTAAAGTTAATATCAGTTTAAGGTATCCAACCCATGAAAAGTCTGGAGAAAATAACAATAAAATCAGAAAAAAAATTCCAATTAATTGAAGGTGCTGTACAACTCAAAATAAACTGTGAAACTGCCAGGGAACTACACACGCCCCCAGTCAAATGTAAACTACTACACTCTTACCCCAAGTCACTCCCTATTGCCCAGAAACACTGCTAAACTGACACCTACTGTAAATGCAAATCACCATGTCCCTAAGAAGTCTTTCACAAGAAAATACATCAAGAGAAATCCAAACTTCTGAGCACCAAATCTCTTCTAAATATTATCACATTAACCATTTTCCCAGCAGTACAAGTAGGAATTACCTATTAAGAGTTAACATCCTCCTTCTGAACTCTTCAACTTCAGTTTGGCTTTTTGTAACCTGAGATTTATGAGCACTTAATCTATCCTTAAGTTCTTGCTGCTCCTCCACCATTTCATTCACTTTTATTAAAAGCTTTTCTTCATCCTGCATAAAAATATTTACATTTTTAACATCCCATCAAAACTCTTGATGTGGAGCCTTGTTATACAGAAAGAAAGAGTAATAAGTTTAAACCTGTTACATTCAAATGTGTTACAACACAAAATCTGAAATGCACTATGGGATTTTGTTTTTCCTCCACTTTGTGGCAGTTTTATACACTTCACTTGTTTTTTATTCAGAGCACTATTACGGATCTTTTCTCCTTCCCTTTTCTGTGTACCACAAGCATAGTTGATTTAACAAGCACCATCAGCACAACAAGGAATCAAGAACACTGGGAAGGAGGAATCCACACATATTACCTCAATTAAAAACCTGAATTGGTTTCACAGAATTATCTTAGTGGCTGTGAAGTACCTTAAAGATGTAAAGCACCAGAGTTGTTTAGTTTTACTCATGAAATCTTCTACTGAATCTGAGCCACGTGCTGCTGGTTTTATCTGTAGCTGTATGCTGCCTTTTCATATCAATTAAACACATAACACTGAACACAATATAACACTGTACACACAACAATACACAACTTTGAGCAAGCTTATTTTGAATAATTAGTAAGTACCCAAACATGGCAGGTTATTCCAAGGTTAAAATGCATCTGCATTTTTTTAAACAAACACAAAGTCAGCACTGAATGAACCCCTTGCAGAATTACTCAGCATCACATTTATTAAATATTGTAACTCAGTGCATTCTGTTCTCCCAGGAGAGTCCCAGAGGCAGAGACTGATTTCAGAGTTACCTCCCGAAGCCTGACAATCTCAGCTTCTTCTTTCTTTATGGTCTCCCTCAGCTTGCTGACTGAGTTTGTTAATTTTTGGAGATGATCCCGATTATATTCCAGCTGAGTGCTCAGTCGGGTCTTCTGGCTCTCAAACTCCAGCCTAGGCAAAGGACAGGACTTCAAATCAACACTGACAGAGCAGGCTCCTAACTGTGACTGTAAGCTGGGACAAGGCACATTTCCCCTCTGAGGAGTCAGATTGCATTTCTGTATCTTCCACGGGAGCACAGACACCTGCAGACACTTGGGTCCACCACACCACAAGGACACAGTGATAATAGTTAATATGGCCACATCAATATGGAGAGTGACACTGGAGTTCAAGGATCTAGTTCAACATTCTTCTTCATTAAGGCACAAATCTGTGCTCCTGTGACATGTGCCTGGCAGACAAATACTAGATGAGGTTGCCAGTGAGAAACCTCAGAGCCTGCTGTCCTTAAGATCATGTTCCCATACCAAATGCCTGCATCCTACACCCAGTTCTCCTTAAGATTTTGGATACATGAGTGACCCTTCATGCTGTTCTCAATCTGGGATAGTGCCATTTTTCAATGTGGGTTTTAGAAAACTATTCTTTGCTTTGTTTTTCTACAGCAGTGCTACCAAAATAGCAAATGTTACCTTCCAAGTTTGTTGCCAGCTGTCACTGACTCTGAACTGTCTCATAAGCCCAAAGCACAGCAGTGTCACTAATCCCTAACTAACCTCTGCAGTGAGAGGGGAACCTTTTACTGTCTCCTGGGCTTTTGTGATATTTCCTGGGCTGGGGTTTCCCAAAGCCCAGTGTGCCCAGTTTAATCCCAGCCACTGGTTTACATATCAGTGCCAAACACCACCTTCTCTTGGCAATCTCCTCTTGCTGCCTCACGTGTTCCTGTTCATACACACGGATATTTTCTATACCAATCTCTTCACAGAATTCCCGGAAAACAGTGTCTTCAACCTTGGAATACAGAGAAACAGAACAAAAAAAAAAAAAGTTTAGTCACTCACAGGTGTAAAACATTTGGACAATCACTTCATGCTGCAGGCTGGGTTTTTAAGGTACTTTAAGAAACAGCAAACAAGTACTGAGAAGTAATTTGTACTTGAAATTTTCCAGTAAGTCTTTCAGTCCAAATGCCAGACACAAGGCATATGATCTGCAAGATGTAACTCTCATCTAAGTTCTTCTTGACAGCACCTGGTCACTCCAAAGACAATTAAAGTAGTCACTGTGACCAACTGCCCTGGTTTTGCCTGTTGTTCCCAGCCAGCTGAAGAAGAGAAAGCTGGATAGAACACTATCAGATACACCAGGTTTCTTGGTGCAGTTCAGTTCTTCATTTTAATCCTTTCAAGGGATCCATAAATATTAATTACCGTGTTCCAATTATAGCAAAGTCACAGCAAAAACAGTGCCACGGAGTATTTCACTTCCTAATTATACAGTGCATACTAACAAAAGCCTCAGGCAAAACCAGTCCTAAGATTTTTATGAAAAATTTAAGCAGGCAAATATTAGGTAGAGTGTGTAAGACAGGACTGAATGAAGAATAGCAACAGCCTGTTGGAAAGGAAACCTAATGGGTTGAACAAACTTTTAAGAGAACTTCACAGGTCAGAACCTGGTAATGTTTACACTGCTTTAGTACTCAGGCTTTTTTAGCCAGGGATACAATACCACTTGAAGTTACAAGTTACACTACTCTTTGGAAAGCAATGACCAGTCTCTATTTTTTAGGGGTTTTTTTTAATTTATTTTATTTTCAGAACAAGCAAAAGCAAAATTCCCCAGGTCTGGAATCCTCAGAGCCCTAAGCATCAATGACAGTGCCAGTGCTTGCAGATGACAGACATCTGCACTCCCTCGTGCCTGCACCACAGGCAGGACAGAGAACACACAGCAGTTTTGGCTCCTTTTTCCAGGCAGAATTCCAGCCAGATTAGCCCAAGGCTGACTGATAAGAATGGGGCAGAGGCCAGGAAGTAAGTTACATGTGTAGGATACACCTCGAGTAACTGCAGAGCTGTGACACATTAACATCCAAACCTCTGTTCACAGCCAGCCTGGGAAGAAAGGTAGAGGATGACTGCTGGAATAACTTAGAAGTCTTGTTGACAAAGTTGTTTATAAAGTTAAAAGTTGTCCAAGTTCCAGAAGTCAGCAGGAACATAAGAAGTTTCTGCAGCATAAGAGCATAAGCTGTCACAGCTTTGACAGAAGGCATTACCTCATTAATTTTTGTCTGAAATTCTTCTATTTTTGTTTTTCTTTGTGCTATTCCTTCATTCAGCATGTCATGCTGAGACTCAATATTTAGCAGTTCACTTTCCAGCTTTGATTTTTCCTAGACAGAAAGGAAAAATATGATAATTTCTCTTAACAGGAGGGTCAACTTTCCAGAAATTAAGAGACAGCTCTGTTCCAGATTAACTGTATTTTTCTGATTAAAACCTTTATTTTCCTCTCAAATGCCACTTACCCATTATCATTGCCAATTTGCATGTAATGATTAGTTTGAATGAGCAGAAAAGCAAACTTAGCACCACATCAAGTGCACTTTGACTTACAGACTTCTGAAGGTTACTAAATGATATACCAAGCTACCAGAAATCCAAATTTAAAAACTAATATAGAAAAAGGCTCACGTAAAGTACTTTCTAATCTTGCTTTTTATATTTTATCCATCCCTCAGTTGTAACTGCTGCATGTAAAACTTGATCTGAATTTAAAAAAAAACATGTAAGGAAGTAGCATTTACTTCACAGGTAATGACAGCTTAAGAAACCACAATTATTAAAGCTGAGAATGATTAAGAGTTGACAGGATACCATGTAGAGATTGGCAAGGTGTTTCTTTTTAATGAGGTCCAGCTCACTCTGTGAGTATTTGAGCCGTGTCTGGGTTCCTTGGCTCTGGGCACGCAGCTGCTTCAGGTCGGCCTCCTTACGCTTGGTCTTCATCAGGGTCTGGGGAAGGGTTGGGATGGGAGAAAAAGCACTGTAAACATGAGGTGACCTCTTGGGAAACGAGTCATGTGCAGATTTTAGCCTCACTGACACAGGCCTCATTCAAGGTGAAGGCTGGCAGCTCTGCTCATACCCAACAGGAATTTCGTAACAGATTTACTTCTCCATGGGAAGCATCCGCTTGCAGATTCCTAAATCCCTGCTCCATCCCTCTCACAGAAACAAGCACTAGAGGTATGACACAGTTTTACACTGGAAGGTTTTGGTCCATGCAAATACTCTCATGTTGAGAGATCACATCATCTTTGCTCACTACAAGTCTCCAGGTACTTTGAACAGCAGCTCCTTTTCCTGGAGGCAGCTTGAACCAAGAGTGTTATCCTGGTTCTCCATCTGTGAACCACTACTCCATCAGCTAAGGACAAGATGCACAATGGATTATTATTAACTGGAAGAGGATAAACAGCTACTGTGTCCTGTCTGCATCTTCTACAAGTTTTGAAAATCACCTCTTCAGAAGATCCCCTTCCCAGAGCTGAATTGAGTCAGACAACTTCTACACTTCCATGACTTTTGCAGTAAGTGCTATTAAGAGACCTACCTTTAACTCATGAATCAAGCTATCTCTTTTTTCTTTCATTTTATTCATTTCTTTATCATCCCAACATCTAGCTTTAAATCTTAAATCACTGGATCCTCCAGAAATCACTCCAGATTTCAAAAATAAAGTTCCATCAAGAGACACTGTCTGGAAGGAAAAAAAAAAAAAAAGAAACCCAAATAGATCTTAACAAAGTCAGCCAAAATACCCCACAAAGTAGTGCCCAAGATATGGCAGTTAAACAAGCAACAACCACATTTGAGTTGGACTTCAATGTTTTTTGGTGTACCAAACCTGCTAACATGAGATACATGAAGCCACGGAAAATGCATGTTGTTTCTTAGCACTAATCATATTTTAGTATTATTACAACTGATCAGAAAATGAAATGAAATTATATAATTTCCTTGCATTTAGAAAATTAATATAAGACACTTGTGTGTACACTGGCACTTAGAAGGTTCTGTCTGGCTCAGTAGAACAAACCAAGCCCCATGATAATGGAGGAGAGGGAAACAGCCTGTTTGTACCCAGGAAGGGCAAATTTTAGTGAAGAACATGGGTGCTTTAGTGACCTGATTCCAAGCAAACGTGATTTCACGCTCACCTTCAACTTCAAGCTGTTTTAATCAAGACTTTAAACAGTTTACACTAAGTGCATAAAAGACTGCAGCAACACAGGTATGAATAAGAAGGGACAACTGCAGGAAGTAATAGAGAAGCTTCCAGTCCTTAACACAGTCCACATCTACAACCAACAGATTCTGGCAGATATTTTAAAGATTTTTGAAAGCATTTCTTCAAAAAAACCGTCACAAGATAAAGTCTGAGTTTCTAAATCAGGCAGTTTTAAGTGCAGGATTACCCCTCCTTCACCCTCCTTATCACAAGGACCATATGAAGAAGCATATTTGGACTCTTAACTATCCTCCAATTTGCCTCCCCCTTTTCCCAGGAAACCACTTAAACTTACTACCAGACAGAGGCAAACACAACCACGTGAAGTATCTGGTGATTTGTTTGTGTGGGATTAGACAGCACAGCACCACTCTGTGTTTACCTGCAATCCTTCACAGCACATGTAGAAGAGAATGATTTAAATGGCATCAAATCCATGACTGCAGTGGGAAACACATGCAGCAAAGTGCAGCTCCTCACCTTGAGCCTCACTGGTCCATCAAAGGCGATGTGTTTGGCCTCCTTCACTGTCTCACAGACCAGGCTGTTCCCACTCACAAACTGAATCACTCTTTTCAGTGGAGCAAATGGTGTTTGCACAACATCCACCAGCAGTTTAGCTCCCTTTACCTCCCTCAGCTTCTCGTTGATTGGCTTGACCTGCAAAGCAAAGAAGCAGTGCCTGGAATTCCTGCTGTCAACATAAAGCAGGCCCAAATCTGAGAGGTCTGGGCACGGGATGTGCAGGTAACAGAATGGCAACTGCAAGAGGTGCCTGAGGATTAGGGACACACCAGTGTCACTCCTGTGCTCAGAAAGGGACAAGGAGGAGGACAATCAGCAATCTGCTGATGACACAAAGCTGGGAGGAATGACTGATATGCCAGACACTCGTCCAGAGGGACCTCAGCAGGCTGGAGCAGTGGGCCAACAAGAGCCCCACGAAATTCACTTCCCAAGTCCTGTGCCTTAACACTTAAGCCTACCTTTGTTAAGCTTAAATGATCCAGTATCAAGATTTACAAGTGCACAAACTTGCTGATGACAGGAGAAAGAAAAATGTACTCACATCAAGGTAATCCAAAGCAAGAAACGTTTCGGGTTCGGCCCGTTCCTGTTTCAGGAACTGAATACAATCCCTTGCTGTTCTTTGAGAGGCAACAACAATAGCAGTCATGTATCTGCTGAACACCTTGGTAACAGCAAGCTGGTATTTTTTATGGATAGGATGACACAGGTCAAGCAATCTTCCAAACTGAAGATTAAAATATTGAGAAAAATTAATATGCTACTTCAGACATGAAATAATATTTCTGCACACAAGAGAACTGGAGCAGCAAGAGGAAAATGTGTTACACATCTACCAGCTGCACTCTCTCACAATGGCTGTGCATCAGAAAAAACAGAAATTGAAGCAGTCATCAACCCAACATGCAAAGTATGCCTTCTGAGGGGATCTAATTTTTTCTCTAAGGTTGCAGTTACGTATCTCAGTGTTTTACTGAGAATCTCTGCATACAATTCCAGAAGCATAAGAGAGTGACAAAGTTAGCTAAGCATCTTTTTTGGAGAGAAAGGAAATATCTAACACTCGGTAAGATCTTAAAGTGACAATAAGGTCTTAAATAAATAGAGCTGGAAAATGGCAGCAAGAGAGGCACTGTTCCAGTTTCAACCCCAAAAAGAAGTATCTGCTTATTTTAGTAGCATAAACAGAATAAAATCAGTTTTTCTTGTACTGCATAGTCCAAATAATCATTAAGTAACACCATTAAGTAAGACTAATTAGCTCTTTATTGTACATGCTCCCAAAAGATCTTTTGTTCCCTTTCTGTCATTACAAGCACAGTTGAGCTTTTTCTGAAGGACTGAACCTACTGATGCTCACTTTGAACACCATAACCTCTGAATTCATGCAAGAACAGTTTTTCTGCTGGTCTCTTCTTGCAGATGTACAGTTTCATCCTTATCAAACTCAAACAAATGAAGAGACAACTGGCATGAGCTGTGACAGGTCTTTCACGCTGTTGTCTCAGGAACAACACACTCAGGCATTTCACGTTTCATCTACTGGAAATTCCTGGCCTACTACGATCCACTGGGATCCAGCCTGTCCAATTTAGCCCAGCTGCTTCCTCAGCCTAAGGCAGAACTCTCAGCTGTAAAATAAAGCATTGGAATAAGGCCATCCCATTACCACGGAATCCGGGTACAGCCTTCTGAGACTCTCCAGGATCTCTGCTCTCATCTGCTCCCGCCTGCCCTCGTGGTAATCCATCCTGGCATTCTGCAGCTCCCCAACTATTCTGTTCAGCTCCTCATTCACTTCAGCCATTCTCACTGTGGAGGTCTCAATCTCCTCAGCCAGCAGCTCCTCCTGCTGTTTTTTCTCTGCTAACGATTCGCTTCAGACAGAAGCACAAATAAAAAGCATTATTTCATTTATCACACTTGTAGCATCAATTAAGGTCATTCTGCAGTCACCTTACCTCACAAGGAGTAAAAACCAGGCAGAAGACAAGACCCAGGAGGGAAGAACTGAGCTAACACACAAGGTAAGTATTAATGCTTTCTGGAGCAGCACAACTACAGAACTGCCCTGTTCCCTTGCTAGATTTGTCCACTAACAGCCCCATACCCACAGTGACATAATTTGCAAGAAATTAGAAGTAATTATAGAAATGGTTCAAATAAAATATGGATTAGTCATCATACTTCCTACTTCATAAGCTATTAAGTAGAATTAGTAAGGATTGTAACTCCTATTAGAATTTTAAAGAAAATAATTAGAAACAATTAGAAACGTGCTGTGCTATTTTGACAATATCTAATACACAAGAAATCAAATGAGCTTTTAATTTTTTACATGTACCTGCATATCTTGACATATTCTTCCAACTTCTCTATGCGTTTCTTATGCTCCTCTATCTGTTCCACAGTCTGCTTTATGATTTCCTATGCAATCACAAACACAAGTGTCCAAAACAAACCAGAAAACCACAGCTTACAGCGAGATAGAGAGCTCTTAATTCAGAACGAGTACTGAGGTAGATCTTTTCCTCCTGACTGGCATTTCACACTGAAGTAACAGCATCTCTTTTGCAATAATAGATGCCAAATTGCACCATGAATAATAAAGGAAATTGTTTTATCAAGGCCATTACTGGATTTTTCATATTCAGCTACAGCTTAGAGAAAGCCTCTTTATGACAGAGAAACATGACACCAACACTTAAAACAACTTTAAACGTAGAATTAGTAAATTACAGGTGTTAAAACAAAAGAGATGCTTTTCTTGGCCCTACATCAATATTTTTTTCCTAAGGACACACAAAGCAGCAGGCACAGAGCTTCCAAACTGACACAAAACACTGTAGCAAAAAAAACCTCCCAAACTAAAAACCAACAGTGAAATAAGTATTTTCAGTTACTCCCTTTGAAAAAACATACACTAATTAAAGGAAATGAAAAGAAAAAAATACTGTTACCTATGCATTTTATTAAGCCTTAATTTAACTCCTGAAATTCTTGTGACCTTTGAAATAGCTCCAGGGATGGACAGTCAACCTCTTTGTGCACCTGCTTCAATATCCATGAGATAAGGGTATGAGAATTCTCATACAACTGAACTAACATTGCAACGTCTCCCCTCTGCTATGGATTTGATTATGTCAAAGCTCAGAGCACATCTCCCCAGACAGTAATACCCGAGGGAGGAGCAGGGACACGTTTTCCTCCTTCAAACATAATTCTAGTTTGACACAAATACCTCGACTTCATTTTTCTTCCTCCGATTAAGTTTCAGCCTTTCCTGATCTCCTTTGTCCTCCCAACGAAGTTTCTCCATCTGCTGGGTTAGTGTAGCAACTTTCTTTCTTGCTGTTTCCTTTAGCTCTCTGTAACGCTCCAGCTGGACAAAACCAAAGGAGTCATAAATTAACTCCCTGCAAAGTGGGAAGATTCACGTTGTTCCAGCCTCAAGCACCAATTGCCTGCTTTGTCACACTCTCACCCTGCTGAATGTTTTCTGTCCTGCCCTCCCACAGGGTACCACGTCTCTATACAAAACTTGCAATTTTGGTTTTGTTTGAGCTCAAGGACAAAAGGACCACCAGAAATTACAGGTCATTGGTGAAATAATGGTTTCCCTGTGATTTGGGGGGGGGGGGATTTTTGGACTTCTCTAGTAACCAGTGCTTTTGGGCCTCCCAGTTCACCTGACTTTCTCCCAGCTCAACATGTGCTGCTCTCTGCTTTAGCTCCTCTTCAGCTTTCTCCTCAAACGCTCTCCACGCCTTCTCAATATCACTCAGTTCTATCTCTAGCTCTTTTATGTTCTGCTTTTCCTTATCACACTGTTTCTCCTTGTCCCTCAGAGATTTTTTAGACATTTCTACTTTCTTGATTTGGTAGGACGTGTTTTCCTTTGCTTTTATATAGAGGGGTCTCTGCTGAATCAGTGATGCTTCCAGAGTCCTAAAAAACAAAACCAAAAACAATCCCAAAACAAACAATGCAACCAGCCAACCACCACAAAACACAGACAAAACAACAAAACCACGCAGCAAAAAGGAGCAAGGGAATGGGGAGAGAGTGAGGAGAGAAAAGAAGAACCCTCCCTCCTAACCACACCTGCAAGGGGTTTCCACTGAGGGGATTTTTTTTTTTTTATATCCACTGAAAATAGTCATTTAGGAAGTGAAGCATAACCTTCTGAAATGTAATAGCAAACAGGTATTTATAGAATGAAATTACTGACAACCTGGGCATGGCAAGGGAGGTGAAAACCACATCTAGGTATTGCTTTAGTGAACTACAAACTGGCTCCCCTAGCACTGGGTTCTCACCCATGTGTGCAACAGGAAATGCACACCTGCCAAGCAATTCCCAGTGCAGATCATGCTTTAACTCAACTATCACACAGTCTGATGGGAAAACATACTTCATTTCTTTTTCCATATGCTGTAGGTCCCTGTTTAGTACACCAAGCACTTTTTTCTTGGCTTTAAATGAATCTTCTGCTGAAGAAAGAGACTCTTTCTTGGTATAAGCCTCCATATTCTTTTCATCCAAACTGGTTTTCAGGAAGCCAATGTCTTTTTCATTGTGATAAAGCAGAAAAAGCTTCATCTGTATCCTTTCTTCATACAGGTCCTTGATTAGCATCTGGTAATGCTCTGCCTACCAACATTAAAATTTCATTTATGGTTTATAAAAATGATTTTCCATCATTATCAGTCTAATTTCAAGTTCAAACTGAAATAAGATGCTGTACCAGTAGCTGTAATTCCAGCAATGTGCACCAATCATAAAACTCAAACATTTAAATCAATACTTATATTAATCATACCAGCAAACCTATGCTTTCATTTATTTAGATTTTATATGTATTCCTCCACCTTTTAAATTATACCAAATTCTTATATAGTATGCCATACTGAAAAAAAAACAAACCTAGATTAAGCACAACAGAAATGTGTGGTTGTTTATTTTAAAAAAAACCAAAACCACCTGTACTTAAGCCCATAAAAGATCTGATAAAAATCTGGTATCTTTACAACCAAAAAAAAGGAACAACCGAGTTACCTCCTCTTTCTCTATCTTGGCTTGTTTCCGTTCTGCTGCAACACTTTTTTTCTTGTTATAATTAAACTGTGCATCCTCTTCTGCTTGCTGCATCTTCTTCTTTTTTCGTTCATATTCTTCAGCCAATTCCCATGAATTACTGATTTGTTCAAAAAGTTGAGTTCTCTCCTTGGGCTTCTTCATTGCAATCGATTCCACTGTTCCCTAAAACAAAACGGCCCCAAAAAAGTAAATAATGCAGCACTGCAGATCCTTCTGCTGCCTAATGGATTTCTTTAGGAGCATGTAGTACAGATGGATCTCCGTTTATATTATAAATGTTTCTGTAAGAGGGAAAAAAATCAGTTCTTCCTAGGGAGTCTTCCTCAGCAACTGTAAGGAAGACAATTATATTCATCACAAGGATAAGGCACTTCTGACCCATGTCATTAAATTCTTGGGAACTAACAGCCCAGCAGAATTTTCAATCCCTCAATCTGAACCAAAATATCCTTTATACTTTGATGCATCTTTACTGATAGAAGTGTTTTAAGATGAAATTCCTTTTTTCCTAACGCTCCTAGAATTGAACACACCAAGCATTTATAGAGACACGAATTTTCTTACATCCTGTGAATAACACAAGCACACAATTTCTTCCAGATCAGCTTCTTTCTTACTAGTGCAGTCATGTACACACAAACCCCATGATTTCTATTTTGTAGTCTTGTAGTTCTTGGCTGAGGTCAGTAGTTAGCTAACGGTGCCCTCTTTTCTATCAAACAGACAACTGTGTACCTATGAAATAATAACCCCAGAGGCTTTTATTTTCCTTACAAAGTACCTTGAATGCTCACCTGAAAAATAAGGCAGTTCCTGGCCTTGACAAGAATGCCTATTTTTTCAAGCTCGGATACGTAAGCAGATCGGCTGACAGCCTTGTCATTGAAAAAAAATTCAGTACAGCTGCCTACAGGAGGGAAGAAAAAAAAAATTACTGCTGAAAACAACTGCAACACAAAACCCACTGGAAAAGAACTAAACCAGAGGGACAATTTAATGGGCCAATTTCCTCAAAGAAGAAAATAGATTTCAATGATTCCTTTACTCCTCTCAGTAATTCCAGTTTTCTGTATGAAAACTCCACTTTCACACTTTCAAATGGCACTGGCATGCTCCAGTGCTCGTGCCTGCAGCAAGGTTTCAGCCCCCATTTCCATCTACAGATACACAGAGAGCAAAGAACATATAATAATCACTTGTTCAATCTTTTAACTAATTGGCCCCAGCATGTTTTTTCATTTATACCGCTACCAAGCTGTGTATTGATACTGAAGTATTAACCCACCCAGCTCTGAAATGACACTGGGCACCCGAAATTCCGAGCTGAGCATTTCTTGTCCCCATTTATACATCATTTGTACGTCTGTCTTCATACGTCAGACAACAGACAGGATTGCAGCAGTCTCCACCACCTACCACGGATAACTCTTGAAAATGTCTTCTCCTCCCCATCTTCCTCACAGTACACCATCTTCACACTGGCTGTGGAAGACACCGGTCGCCCAACATGTGCCCCGTGAATGAGCTCCCGGACGCTTTTAACTCTCAGATTGGCTGTCCTTTCACACAGCAGAAAGCTGACAGCATCCATTATGTTAGATTTCCCTTAAAAGGAAATTTTAAAAATTGCTTTCACGTGGCAGAAACGAAAGGAGGCATTTGATTAACAACCAGCTAAAAAAAAAAACAGGCAGAATTGCAAATTTCTTTATGAATTCTACTTCTTATTCTGTATTTTTACATTTTTTTAGGAAGAGATTCCTCCCTGTGAGGGTGATGAGGCCCTGGCACAGGTTGCCCAGAGAAGCTGTGGCTGCCCCATCCCTGGAAGTGTCCAAGGCCAGGTTGGACGGGGCTTGGAGCAACCTGGGATAGTGGAAGGTGTCCCTGCCCATGGCAGGGGGTGGGACTGGATGAGCTTTAAGGTCCCTGCCAACCCAAACCACTCTGGGATTTGGTGATTTTATTGAGGAGAAACTACTGCAAATAAAGAAACACATCTCTAAGATGCAACACACCAGCAGCAGAAAATAAGCCTGTCTGTAATAAAAATCATCACAAAACTGATTTTTCATTTGTTCAGCTTTACTGAACGTCTTTTTTTTTTTTTTTTTTTTCTCCCCCAGGGTTATCCAGAGATCATTTCTCCATCTGAGTGAGCCACATCACACTCCTTCCTTGGCTGTGTCCTTTCTGGAATGCAATGAGGGAGCCTTGCTGCACGAGCACTCCAGCCACAACCTTCCACTACAACACCAGGCTCCTGAAGAACACAAGCACTTTCCCAGATCCATCCACCACAGCATCAAAGCTCTCTGGTCACAATCCTTCCACAAAAATTCTCCTAATGGAACTCTCTTTTGGTTTTTCCCCTTTAGCCTTGAGCACTTCTGTTGACAGTTTAATTATTTTCAGCCTTAAACTTTGCTACTTGGGCATTATTTTGACCTACTCTTAAAAATATCAGAAAAGGAGGAATACTAGGAGGAAAAGAGTTAAATAGATAATAGATAAATAAAAAGATGCAATTCAGAGATTATATAGTCACAATTTTTCTCCCTGGATTCATCTATAAAATGTACTCACATTTAACTGGAAGAGAACCTGGAAAAAGCATCCATAATTTTGAGACTTCCCAATACAGAACAGTGGAGATAGGATGATAAATAACATTATAACAACGCTAAATATATTGAACTTACATTCATGGTTTTACTTCAATGGGGTAAGTGAAGAAACTACAGGATCTAAAAACCTAAATCACAGACTAAACCATGAACAATCTGGAAAAACTAAGATGAAAAGCAAAGCTCATCCATGCAGCTCTGTTAGGACAACCCTCACCTCCTATCCCAGGGGACATGCAGGATAAAATCCAACTTGTTGAATGGAGCTTTCAGAAGAAGGGAATAATTTTTTAAGAAGTTGCAGCACTTCGGGATAACAATGTGGAGCTGCACTTACAAAGCCCGGCTCCCGTGGGCCGGACTACAAGGCAGGGCCCATATTCCAGAGCTTTTCCAGGGCAAGCATGGCAAACCCCCACACACTGCCACCGAGGAGCAGGTTCCCACTGCCACAGTTTACAACTCGGAGCAGTGAAGCAAAAACCTCCTCTGTAAGCTGAGCTATGAGTGGGGCGGCCGAGACAAGGTGCGTTTGCAAACCGGGCCTTCTGCTGGGCCTGGGAAGCCCAAAGACAGCTCGACACTGCGCTTGGAAGGACCTGCAGCCCGGGCCGAGGAGGGCCGAGCAGGGGCCTGCAGGGCACACTCCGAGCAGCTCCACAGGGCCGAGCGCCCGCACACTGCGAGCTGGGCGCTGACGGCTCGTGGGGCCGCTGCCCCCGGCCCCTGCACACGCTACCTGATCCATTGGGCCCGATGATGCAGTTGAACCTCATGAAGGGGCCGATCACCTGCTGCCCGCGCCACGACTTGAAATCCTGCACCACCAGCACCTTCAGGTAACCCATCCCCGGGGCGCCCGGGCGGGAGCTCCCCCGCCTCGACACCCCGCACACAGACGGCAGAGGTGACTCTCCGCGGTTCGCCTGCGGGCACAGGGGAGCCCCAGCCGGGCCCTATTACCCAACTTTACCCCTCAGCGCGGCCGAGCGGCACCGCCTCGCCCACCCAGCCCTGTCACCCCGGCCCCCTCAGCCCCGCCCGGCCCCGCCCTCTCAGCCCCGCCCTCTCAGCCCCGCCCCGCCCCGCCCATTCCAGCCCTGCCGCCTCGTGCGGCCCGCGCGGGGCGGCGCTGCCGTTGCCATGGCGACGGCCCGTGTTGTGTCCCGGCCGCTGACGGCCCGGCCCGGCCGCTGCTGCTCCCGAGCCAGCTCCCGATCCAGCTCCCGAGCCAGCTGCCGAGCCGGCCCTCGCCGCCATGAGCGGGCTGGGGCAGCTGCGGGAGCAGCGGGAGGCGGCCGCCGTGCAGCGCCGGCGGGAGCAGGAGTTCCTGCGGCGGAGCCGCATCTTCAACGCGCGGCTCCGCACCATTGGGGTGAGGGCCGGCCGGGAGGCGGGCAGGCAGGCAGGGAGGGAGGGAGGGAGGGAGGGGTGGTGCTGGGGCCCCCCGCCCCTCACAGGGGGTGTCCGCAGAAGGGCTGGAAGTGGAGGCGATCCCCCGGGCAGGGCAGGGAGGGAAGGGGCGGCGGTGCCGGTCTGGGCGGGCGGGGAGTCCTGTCCGTCCGTCCATCCGTCCGTCCCCCCCCAGTGCCTCCCCTTCTCCCCCTCCCGCGTGTGTGAGAGGGAACCACGGAGAAAGAGCCCACGTGCATCTCTTAGAGGCGCTTTTGAAGTTGCTGGTGAAAGCGAGTCGATGCTTTAAGGCGCCGCCAGGAGTTGTTTTTGGGGGCTGTCCCGGAGTCACGGAGGGGTTGGGGCTGGAGGGGTTCGTGTCAAGCGAGCGCTGCTGGCACAGCGGGCAGCCAGCAGCGTGACAGGGCGGTACACTGACCCACCTGTCTTGTTGCCAGAAACTGCTAATGAACCTGTATTGAATTTCTCTTAACAGAATTCCCTGTAGTTATACTGAAAGCTTGGCTTCCCCAGGGGGGACCTCGGAAGGAGCTGATATTTAATTTAGTGACACCGTTGTTCTTGGACAATAGATTCCTTACGGTTTCCCCCTGGCTTACAACCTCACCCCTTGGCCTGATTGCTGTTGTCAGCTTTCCTTTACAGCACTAGCCATGTGTATTTTCAGCCATGATTTGTCTCTGTCTTCATCTGAATAGATTTTAGTCAAAGACTATCAAAATAGTTGACCAGATTCTTGAAGAATTGTCATTGGTTTTGGACACATTTTTTTAAAATACATTAAGTGACTTGACAGTAAAAGAAAAAAAGAAAAGAAATCAAATCCACGTTTCTGTCTAATAATATGCTACTGTCTGCCAGCACATGTGGGGACTGGTTCTTTTGCCTCCAGTGGAGGCAGCTGCTCCCATTGGATGCTGTGCCCTATGTTATGCTTTGCTCAGGTCCCACTCCCCATGGATGTGGATGTTCTGTGCTGTAACTTTGGCTCATCACAGATCATACACCTGTAGGGCATTTTGGCAACCCTGTGAATCCCACTCTCTGATAAGACTGTGAGATAACATTCCTTGTTATCTTTTCAATGTAATTCTAGTGAACTGTCTGTATTTTTTTCAGATATGAACTATTACAAGTTCCTATCATCTCGACTGTCAAAATACTTAACTGCTTCATAAATGAAAGCAGAACAATATAAATAAAGTTACCAGCTGTAATGGGGAAAACATATTCTGTATAATGCAGCTGAAAATGTTTCTAGCTCTATGGGTCATGTAAATGTGATCTTTTCATCTGATCTGGTGCTAGAGCATCTCTGCCATTATTAAAACAAGGCAAACAAGAATATTGCTGTTCCTGGGTTTTGTTTTAAGTTACCTACCTTAATCATGTGTAATAGAACTCTGCTGGTAGTGGGTTTATATCTGTCTTGTGCAATTGTGAGTCAAAGTAGCTTGACAATCCCTTTGGTTTTAATTATTCAAACATAGTATCTCTTAAAGAGCTGCTCTTTTTTTTTTTTCCATTTTAATAGATTGATAAAGATGCATTGGATGTGCAGGTCAAGGAAAGGAAAATTCAAGAAGCAATTGAAAAAGCACGACATGAAAAATTTGGTATATTCATAAATGCCATGATATTTCTGTGAACAGTTAAATGTCACTATCTGCTTCCTGCTTTCTTTTTTCCCTTCATGTGTTCTCTAAATTCAGTCATCCAATTTATGTTCTATTTATGTTCATACATCTGCATTGGTACAATATATGTATATTTTCCTTAGTGTGTTAAGATTTATACTGATGTCATTAAACTGGGATACATTGCCTAATAGGCTGGAATTTTCAGTGTTTTCTCTTAATACCTGTTGACAAATAGCATCATTTAGAGACTGAATATACAGGAGCATTTAAAAAAACACCCAACTTAATTACTTACCACTGTTCTTTTCAGAATAGCAGTGGCTCATGTGTTTTGATTGCTTTCTTGTAGAGTGAGCCCATGTCCTGCCTGGCCATTCTCCCATAGAATGTATGGATTCTATGGAATCCTCTCTGGATCATTGTTGCTGGAGCCATGAGTCTAGGACAGTAGGGCTGTGAGAGGAGCCCCTGCTGAGTCAGAACATGCAGCCACACAGATATTTCAGGCTGTGCCCTGCCCTTAGACCCTCTGTGGCTCTGTGCTTGCCATGCATCCCTGTGCCATCAGGGGAGAAGGTCCCACAGCCTGAGCACTCCCTGGGCTGCCAGAGGAGGTAGGATGGAGCTGCCAATGGCTCTACAGCTGCTTGGGATTTTCCTGGCTGGAAAATACACCTGTCAGGCTCTTAGGGAACTGCCAGCAGCAATGTGGAGTCTGGCAACAGAGGAAATGGTCTTTCCTTGGGAGTTATATTTAAATAGCTAAAATGGCTAATTTGGGGGGGGTTGTTGTTTGTTTTTCTTAAAAATGCTGTAATTGATTTAGTGTTAATTAAATGGGCAGGAGCTATTAAGCTGTTAATGCCAGCCAATTATTTTAGTGCTATGCTTAAAAAAATTATTGGAACTATGGAAGAGCTATCTGTATTCCTTCAATTGGGACACTGATTTTTGTTTGCTTCTTAATGAGCAACTCAGTGTATTTCAGTTGGATCTGTAAACTAAGAGTAAGTGGGAAGAATCAGTTTACAGTACATTTAATGTGTTCCTGCAGGTGTTCACCAAAGGAAACCTCATAGTTCTAGGGGTATTTATTACTGTGTTTGTTTAATATGCATATATTTCATTGTAACATGAGTAAAATAATTTATACCTAAAAAGATGAAAATATTTAATAAGTAAATATTACTAACATTACAGTGTTTGCTGGGTTGGCACTCACAGTTCAAATACTCTTTCCTAAGACCTGTAAGATTTGTGTCTTCATTGTGTTTGTTTTTGCCTAGCTAATGACATGAAGAGGAATGACAGGCTCATGTGTCTGCTGGAAGAACAACAGAAAAGGGAAATCAAAGACATGAATAAGGCTCTCAAGGAATTTCAGAAGAATCAGACACCAGAAACAAGACGTGAGTTTGACCTGAATGATCCCCAGGCCCTCAAGAAGGACAGACCCGCCCGAGTTTCGGACACCGACCCTCGCTGTACCATCTCTGGCATGCAGAAGTTTGCAGGGGAAGACCTAAACTATGAGCAGAGGATGAAGTTCCAAAAGGAGCAGCTAAGAGAGTGGTCTCTTCAGCAGCAGAAAGACTGGAAGACTGCGTTAGCTGACCAAAAACTGGCAGGTAACAAAAAAAGAGCATGAAGTTTTAATCTCCTTTTTTTGAAATCGTGAGTTCTCCGATGAAAATCCAGTTTAGCCTGTTGTGTATTAACTTTTGGAAGTACTGCAGCAGTTTGTACTTTGCAGTAGAAACTAAGAAATTAGTAGAAACTAAGGTATTCACTCTACCTCTTAGGAAATCTGTATTTAATAACGTGATGATTGTAATGTTACCTAGGTTCTGGTAACATTTCTGGTAAAACATTTCTGGTTTACCCCTCAAATACTGTATGGGGGCATGCTGAAAACCCAGCTGTGTTTTGTGTGCTTACTTCATCAGGCCAGATTGCCCAGTCTGTACTGCTCTGGAGCAGGGAAAATAATGCTGATGTTTGTTTCCTAGCTTGTCATGAAACTGTTTTCTACAGTACTTTAGGTACTTTTTCATTTTAACACTTACTGTTAAGACAAAATAGGTTATGTAATAAACTGATTTGTGAGTCACCTGAAATCCCAGGATGGAAAGCTTGGATGGAAGGATTTGGAAATGGTTCTGTAATTCAGCCTGCTGTATCTGTAGCTGCGCCCTGTCCCTTCCCCTGGTTAACTCACATGGCACATCACATCCATGAACACTGACTCCATTTCATTTTAATCTCCTTTAGATGATCTTTATGACAAATATAGGGTTGAAGTCGACCGAAAGATTCTGGAGCTCCAACGACAAGAAGAAGAAAGCAGGCGAGCTGTCTGTACAGCCACCAAGGATTTCAACAGAATCCAGGTGCATTCACATTGCCTGGGGTGGTTGGTTTGCTGCTTAGAAAATGCGGAGACAGAGAAGGAAAATAAGATGTGCAAAAGTACAGTGAGTGATGTGTTCACAGAGGTTTCTTAGCAGCTGGCTTCCAAGGTTGTTTCAGCAATTATGAGATAGATTTTATTCCTTTTGCCAAGTGAACAAAGAAACCAAGGATCTAGTTACCCTCTGCTGACATTGTCCCTCCTGGTTCTCACCTTGCTGACTAGTGGGTAGCAACAGCTCCCTGTCTCTGATCATAGTCTTTGTATGTGATGCTTTTGAGAACTGTTTGCAGGTTGGAAAGAAATCTGTTATGATGTGTTAAATTTGTTTCATCCCTTAGTTCATGTTTTCTCTTGGACAAAACATCGCTCCTCTCCTTCCACTTAATTTAGGCTGACGAACTAGCTTTTAAAAAGGAGCTGGACAAGTCTCAAACACTGAGAGACAACATGGATGAAATTACCTTCCTGCTTCGAGGAGACTTCCTTTCTGAGAACCCTGCCCAAGCCCTCAGTCCCTTGGGTGACCGTGTGCTCGTGGACCGCTGGAAGGGCATGAGCCCGGAGCAGCTGATGGCAATTCGGCACTACCAGAAGGAACAAGCTCAGGAGAACCTGGTATTTAAGCTCACATGCATGTTCTGTTTCCCTGGTTGTAACACTGCTATAGACAAGGTTTGTAGGAGAAAAATGCCATTGTTTGCCCTGCACGTCCCATTGCCAGGCTGTGTTTTCCGCTGATCTGCGTTTTACCCAAACTGCATTCAATCTGAGTGAACACAGCGTCTCTGAATGGCCGGGAGATGTCTCTGGAATAGAATTACAACAGAAACACTAAATATTGGTAATAGTTTCTGCTGTAAAGGTTTAGTGGAAGCAGGAAGTCAAAATGAAGAGATCTGCCCTTCCTATGAATTCAGGAGTGTCCAGGCCTAGGCATTGGGAAGTAGGAAGCTACCTGGCTCCCTCAGTACAGAGGCTGCATTCGTGACAGCTGAGGAATAGTGTTTGATTTTATCTTTTAATCCCTACAACACCTTAGGCTTTACTATGTCTGTGCTGTTATTAAAGCTGAAGACAGGATTGTCCTTTTCCTGGCTCTCCTATGACCCTAAAGTGAACCCACTCAGGTTGTTAAGCTGGCTGAAAAGGAGTACAACCAAGAAAAGGGAGTTTTTTGCAGGCCTGGTTTCTTGCTTCAGTCCCATGTGATGTCAGCCAAGAAGTGAGGCAGCATTAACAACAGCTGGGTCTCCTCACGTGGTGGTGGCTCAGCTCGTACACCCAGTCACCCGCATTATGATGTCTGAGCACTTCTCACCTCAGGAAGTTATAACTCTTAACAAGAATTAAAAGGAGAGCCTTTACACGTGCAGCTTCATCTTTGAACAAGGAGAGAATGAAGCCTTTTCCCCCTCCTGCAGAGGCTGAAGGAGCAGGAGCGGCAGCGGGACGCGGAGTGGGACAGGCAGCGCCTGCAGGCGGCCAGAGCACAGATGCTGCTGGAGAGGGAGCAGCGACGGCAGCTCCGGGAGCGGCGCCGGGACCTGGACTTCATGAATGCAGAGCTCTCCCAGGAGCAGAGGGCGAAGTAAGTACCCAAATAAAACCCTTTATCAATACTAACACAACAGCTTGGCTTTCTTGCTTGCATTGTTCGTAGCTTTTTAAATGCGCTTGGCACAAGCTCACGCTTCTAAAAAAAATCAATTCATCTGAAGTGTGTTTTTCATTATATGTGATCAATCTTCAGAGAGTAGGTTTGGAGTGTTACTAACATGAATGAGTTAGGAGCTGGAATTCTAAAAATATTCCATTGACAACAGACTGTTTATATAGCAAAATAGGGAGTGAGTACAGTTAGCTATGCAGAAAAACTGTTTTATCAGATGTAAACCAATACATGCTTCTTTATCATAATTTTCTGAAACAAAAAAGAATGTGTATCAGTAGAACTGCCAGTTTCTGATAGCTCAGGATTAAGCTATCACAACACAAAGGGAGCATTTCCATTTTGTGTGACAGAACTTGATGATTCTTTAACTAACCACTGGATGTGTCTCCCTGGGCAGCTCTTGTGTCTGCTCTAATGGCAAAGGAGGAGGGTAATAAGTGCAGGAGAAGAAAATCAAATCCAGATGATTTGGTCTTCTTCCAGTCTTTTTTTTTTCCTTTTTCTTTCTTTTTTTTTTTTTGCTTATACATACATACATTTTGCAAATTAATTTCTGATACATGATGCTTTCTTACTATGAAAGCAAAAATTTGGAGTTATGTTCATTTTTTTTTTTTTTACTGTGAGATTTTCGGAGGGTTATCTCAGGATGAAAAAACCCAAGTTTGCTGTTTTGAGATGTGGCATACATTTTGGAGAAGTTCTAGTTATATTATTCTATTTCATTTCTAATGAGCATTTATGGGTGCTGATGCATTACATCTTCTTTAGGTTTCTCAGGCTACTTCTGCAGAGTAATGAGAACACATTTACTAACTGCTTCTTTAAAAATATTGTTTATTTTAGGAACATCTACCTTAAAGAAGAGGCATATTCCAACATCCCAACAGCCCAGTATTACGCACAGTTTAACACAACCACCCGGTGACATTCTGGATAAATCAGCCTGAATTACACAGAAGTATGTATACATTAAAATTTCTAAGTGAGCCATCCCATGTTTTACTATTTTATCTGTTCCCCACCCTGTTCAAACACTGCACTCAAACTAAAGGACAGTCTGCTAGGCCACACAGGAAAACATAAATAGTCTTTAAACATTACTGTTGCTCTGATAGATTCAGTAGTAGATTGTTTGACTCTTGTGTCTCAGGCTTAGCTGTAATATTTAAATTATTCATGCCTTTCTGGAAAGAAATGACAATTTAAAGTACAATGCTGCCTTATTCAGCTTGGCCAGAGGGGAATGCTGGCTGCCACAGATCACAAGGGGTGCACACTTAGCAGGTTCTAAGGAGGGAAGAAAGATGGCCTGGGCAGGAAACTCTGGGTTGGTTTGGTTTTGGTTTTTTGGTTTGGATTTTCTTAAAGCAAAAAAACCAGCCAGACACAAAGGTGGGCAAAGAGGAAGAAGTGGCCAAGTTGGTCAGAGGAGTTGCTTTTATTTCGTGAATAGTGGGAATAAGAAGGTAAGATTTTGATAGGCATCAAGGTGATTATAGCCCTGAGACACAGCACTGAAAGGGAATGTGTGTTAGAGTTAGTGGGGAAGGTATGGGGGAAAGTGTTCCTACAGACACCCTCACAGTGTTCCTACAGACACCCTCACAGTGTTCCTACAGACACCCTCAC